CTATCTGTTTTGCCAGACTACTCTACTATCTACTGGACTGTGTCAAGCAGTAAATCGAAGCTGCCCTCTACCCTCATCGCTCCCAGCAATACAGGAAGCTAACAACAGAGGCGAGGCCTTCCTAGTTCCTGAGCACCATTCCTTCTGTCCTTGGTCCACCAGAACCTCACAACCAACACTTGCTCTCCATAACCACCCCATTCTAGATTGTTCTTCAGATAGGCCCCTCTCGTTGGCTCCAGGCTCCTTAGTGTTTGCTATGCTAGGATTTGGACTAGGGTTGTTGTTGTTGTTGTTGTTATGTGCCATGGAGTTGGTTTCAACTTATAGCGATCTTATATAGGGTTTCCCAGGCTATACAAATTCACAGGAGCAGACAACCTTATCTTTCTCCCGTGGAACAGCTGGTAGTTTCAAACTGCTGACCCTGAGATTCGCAGCCCAATTCGTAACCACTATGCTACCAGAGCTCCTTTGGACTGGGGTTAGCTTCCTGATAATAAAGAATAAGAACCTTCCAGAAACCTCTAATAGACCTAATCACTTAGGTAAATATTACAAGTGTTGGTTACAGGATATTGTTGGAAATTGCAAAAATGCACATATGTAGGTTTATCTTGATAAACATAGGATTTTTTAGTGAGAAATGTTTCCTCTACTAGGGACTGCAAATGGAATTGAAAGTGAAGAATTTGGCATCGTCAGATTCCAGGGGCTATGACCTACAGAAGGAGGTCATAGTGAAGGTGACCAACAAGAGGACTCATGAGGTAAGGCTGTGTCTGTGAGCAGCACGAGCCTGTCACAGGGGGTTTCTGAGGATTTTTCCTAGGGAAAAAGGTTATTTTAATCAACTATATAGCCTGTGGAAACCCAGTAAAGGGGCAGGAGTATTTCAAGTGGGAGCTGGGATTCTAGGGAGAGAAGTAAGTTCTTCTCCATGTTCTTCTCCTGGGATCTGTCCTAACCAACAGTACTGAGCATTTTCTGTTCATTACCAGAAAACCAGTTGTGTCAGAGTAGAATAGCACTTCATAGAGTTTTTTGTTTTGTTTTGTTTGTGCTATTTTAATATTTTTTTATTAAGGGCTATAAAAAATATCTAGGAAGATAAATAAATGTGATACAATGATCTATGTCCTAATATAAAGAACTTTCTTTCACTGTCTTGTTTTCCTTCACAATGGCCTTTAAATCACAGGAGGCAGTGATTCCATGCCATTTCCTCTTCTTTATCACACACTGCAGGATTTCTGAATCAATTTCCACCCTCTAGTCTTCTCATTTATAAATCAAATTCATTTTCAATCCATTGTTTAGAGGGAATTTTTTTTTTTTCTGTTCCACAAAGAGGACTTTATTATTCACATTGGGATCAAAAGGGTGAAGAGTCCATTTCTCCAGAAATCGGCTTCTCTGGCATTGAAGATGTACCCTGTTCCAGCTTGGCTCATCATTTTCACCAGAATGTTTTTGACTTGCTCTTGGCAAAGGAGACCGCACTTAGAAACATGGCAATGACAACCCTTCATAGAGTTTTCAGTGACTGGTTTTTCAGAAGTGGATCACCAGACTTTTCTGAGGAGGCATTTCTACATGGACTTGAACTTTCAACCTTTTGGTTAGCATCCAAGAGCATTAACCATTTGAATCACCAGAAGGGAGCCTCAAAATTTACCAAAGTGGTAATGGTGTTGTGTGTGTGTGCATGCAAATGAGACACAAAGGAGGGAGAGGGGTCATTTTGAAGCAATAAGAAAGCCCACACTCCATACTTTCATTGTTGTTAAGTGCTATTGACTGAGTTCTGACTCATAACGACCCTATATAGGGTTTCCAGCAAGCAGCTGATGGGTTTGAACTAGCAACCTTGTGGTTAGAAGTCCAGTGCTTATCCTTCAGTGCCACAAAAGGCCATTTCACAAACTCCACTGACTGATCCATTCCAGATCTGATTTTGTTCACTGTTAGGAAGTTCCTTTTTAGGAATATAAGACTATTTCCCTTTGGCTTAAGAGCAGGAATTAGAAACAGTTGGCCTATCCTTTCTGTTCTTGATGGATGTTATGCCTTTGGAGGTGCCCTCAGACCCCACCTCCAGCAGAGCCCTCAGTACTTAGTTGCTCACCAGAGGATGTTGCTTTCATGGTTAGGTAACTTGGTGCAAACTATTCTCTTCTCCATGCTCAGCATACACAAGGTCCCTCCTCAGCAGGGGAACCAAAGCACCCAAGCATGATCTATGGGGCAACTAACTGCTCTCTCTGTCTTTGGGTTGCTCTTTTCTACGCATTGCCTAAAGTTTCCAAAATATTCTGGGTCAAGACCAATTTTTAAGAATATTTTTAAATTGTGAAATATGCCACAGAAGAATAAAACATGAAACATATATGTTCTGTTGCCTAAGGCTGGGGTTAGGGAATAGGAACTTGAGGGCAATAGCTAAAGTATAAAGGGTTTCTTTTGAGAATGACAAAAATGTTCTAAAATTGTAGTATGATTGCTCAATTCTGTAGATCCACTAACAGCCACTGATAGCAGCCTTATTTAAAGTATATGGATTAATTATATGGTATGTGGATTACATCTCAATAAAGTTACTGTTAAAAATAAAACAAAAGTATATATGAAGGGGCTTCACAAAATTTGTGGGAAAATGGAATTGAAGGACTTCTGGTTTGGTGGTGGCAGAGCAGAGTCAGGTAGGACAGGCTCTGTAGGGGAGGGGCTGAAAACTCAGAGACACAGCTGTAATGGAACAGCACCAGCGCTCTGGATCTAGCATAAGGGTCAGGTTGTCAGTTTCCTGCAAATGCCAATGGAAAAATCATCGTATAAAGGGAACCATTGCGATTTAGAAACTGGTCAAGACACAGGACTCCCTCTGTGGCCATCCCACCCAGGTGGAAGTCAGAGTCAGGACTATACCCAGACTGGCACAGGAAACAGGCACTAAAAGCAGGGCAGTGACATTTGCAAAAGGAGGTGTGGGGAGATTCTACACATTTTTTTCCTCCTCTTCCCTGTCGCGCCTGTTTTGCCCAGCCCAGACACTTTCAGGTGGGTGGATGTGCACCCCCCAAAAACTCCAAAGTTGAGACCACAAATTTCCCATGGCACAGAGAGAAAGAACCCCATCGGTCCAAGGGCAAATTCTTTGGCTGCCGCTTTTGACTTCTGCCTATGAGTCTCAGCCCTAAAGTTAACTTGTGCGGGACCATTTACCCCTGCCTATCCAGCAAGAAAAAAAAAAGCAGGTTTGGCCTGACAGACAAACAATATGAACAATCTTAAAACCCCAACATAAAAAGATGCAACTATTTCAAGAATTATGCTGTGCAAACACGACAACCGACCTTCAGAGACAAAAGTAGTAAACAATCTTTCTCCCATTAATTTCTCAATATCTATCCACTAACCTCTATGGTGGTGAATAGAGGAGGGGCCTGAGTGAGTGGACACTCTCACCCACTACTGGAGGCTTCTAAAGTGCACACACATTGCCTGTGTAGCAAGGTGACTGGACAGTCAGCCACAGTTTTATTTTTGTTTCAAAGTGGAGGTTTTTTTCTCTATTCTTATATGGCTTCTGCTTTTGGGACATTTGTTCACACACTTTTCCTGGAGGTGGGAGTTTTTTCTCCCTACATTACCCAAGAAGAATCAGCAATCATGGCCATATAGCCAAGCTACAAGCATACCCCATAATATTCCACCATGAGACAAGAGGCAATAACAGCTGCTAAGTATTACATGCGAAAAGGGAAACCTATCTCCTGATCATATACACAAGAAGACACCCAGTAAGCTTAATAACACAACAACAAACACCCATTGAAGCATTAAAAAACCCACATAATTACTGGAAATGACAAACAAAAGATCTCAAACACAACAAACGATCTCAAAACATGTCCCAAAACAGAAAAGAGTAACTGAGACAAATACGCTGGAGACAGACAAAGGCTCCCCAGAAGAGGAAGAGCAGGTTTTCAATTTGCCTGAGAAAGAATTCAGAAGAATGATATGGAAACAAATTCAAATGCTCTGAAAAGGGGCAATTCTACTAAAATTATTCCAAAATATAAAAGAGGACAGAAAACTTCCTAATATTTTTTATGAAGCAAGCATAACCCTCATACCAAAACCAGGGAAGCACATCACTAAGAAAGAAAATTTTAGACCAATATCCCTCATGAACATAGATGCAAAAATTCTCAACAAAATCCTAGCCAACATAATCTAGCAACACATCAAAAAGATAACACATCGAGAGAACAAACAAGATGGCGGATCGGGTAGACGTATAGCAGAGAGCTCCGCCAACAACAACACAGAATTCCCAACCAAGCAGGCTCACGGGCTGGTCCCAGAACTCTGAACCACATATAAAGGAATACTTAGAAGGTTGGAAGGCTCACAGCTGGGGGAATCTGTGGCAGAAGCAAGAAATCTATT